TGTCTATTCCCTTTTCTTCCTACGTCCTATTCCTTTACACTCCTCTCTTTTTTGGCCGGCGTTTATTGGGGGACCACCCCACCACCCCCCTGGCTACGCGCCTGCTGTCAGATGAACATATGTTGATACCTTGTCCGCCCCGGAAGCTCAGGGGTTTAAGGTTTTAATTTACGGTCAGATTAGCATTCAGGGGTCCGCCTTAGCGCCCTAGACTGGGTCTAGGGGGCAGAGCCCCGGAAGTTCAGGAGTTTAGGCATTTAATTACGGTCAGATGAGCATTATTTTGATACCTAATTGTTACAATGGCAGGTCACTAATTGGCTTGGGGTTCAGGAGGCGGAGCCCCGGAATCTCAAGGGTTTTAGGCACTCAATTACGGTCAGATGAGTATCGAGGGGCCTGCCTAAGGGCTCTTGGTTGGGTCCAGGGGGCAGATCCCCCAGAAGCTCAGGGGTTTTAGGCGTTTAATTACGGTCAGATGAGCATTTTTGATACCTTATTATTTGTGACACTAGCAGGACACTATTTGGCGTGGGGTCCAGGGGGCAGAGCCCCCAGAAATCAGGGGTTTTAGGCATTAAATGACCGTCATATGAGCATCTAAGGGCCCGCCTTAGGGCCCTAGGTGGAATCCAGGGGGCAGAGCTCTTAGGATTTTAGGCATTAATTTTAATCATGGTCAGATGAGCATATTTTGATACCCCATTATAATGTGACACTGGCAGTTAACTATTTTTTCTTTCTCGCTCTCTTTCTTTCTATTTCTGTTTAATATACTTTTTCAAAGAAAGTGTGGGGGAGGGGCTCGAGGATCCCGATCCCCGCCGTTCCGCCGGCCCTGATCTGTAGGCATCTCAAGAAGCATTTTCTCGCCTGGCTGTAAATTTAGGAATTTGTCATTTTCCAACAAACGTATGAAGTGAGGAAAATTATCTCATTTCAGCATTATTTGTTAACCACCGTTATGGAATTATAAATAAACCACGTTTGAATTCTATTTATCCAACCCCCCCCCCCTCCCCTATCAGTATTCCAGTGCCCCCCCCCCCCGATCTACACCTTGTTGGCGGGAAAATTGCAACTGATATCCCCCTTCTTTTCTTTTCTTCTTCCTATTTTGTCCTTTCCTTTATCTCCTCTTTATCTTTTTCTTTCCCTTTCCTTCCTTCTCTTTTATTTTTTTATTAGGGGGGGGGGGAGGGGGAGGCAAGTCCTTCCCCCCCCCCCCCCGATCTCCTTCTTCCCTCTTTTCTTTTCTTCTTCCTCTTCTTTTTTTCCCTTTCTCTCCTCTTTCCCTTCTTTTCCTTCTCTCTCTCCTTTTTTTTTTTTTTTTTTTGCGGGGGGGGGGGGGGGGGGGCCAAGGCACGCTCGGTCCCCCCCCCCTGGATCCGCGCCTGCAGAGTATTGACCCATCTGCAAAATTCATTTTTAAACCCAAATTTCCGTAAACATTCAAAGAGAAAATCCCAACTAAGACAATCAAATGCTTTTCTAAAATCTGTTAAAAATGCAAGTCCTTTGTCTGAGTGGACATAATAAAATATATCGTCGATTAGTCTGATATTTCCAGCTAAACTTCTACCCTTGATGTACCCTACTTGATCATTGGAAATTAATGTGGGAATTACCTTCTGGAGTCTTATAGTTAGGACTGATGCCGCAATCTTGTAATCATAATTAAGAAGTGAGATTGGTCTAAAATTTTCTAAATTAGTTTGATCACCTTTTTTGTGTAATAGCTTAATTATGGCTTGTCTTTGCGTGTTAGAAAGTTCATTATTTTCAAATCCTTCGTTTAGTGAGTTTACAAGCAAACATTTAACTTCTGTCCAAAAAAAATGATAAAAACTCAATATTCAGGCCATCACTTCCAGGCGCTTTGTTTTTGGCAAACTCAGAAATAACTTGCTGGCATTCTTTTTCTGTTAATTGGCCTTCGCATAATTCTGCCAATTCATCGGTCAATTCAGGATTGTGTAAATCAAATAAATATCCTTCTAAATCATGTTGTCTTTCTTTTTGACGATATAAGTTTGAATAAAATTGATGAACACATTTTCTTATATTTTGTTGCTCACTAAAAATTTTGCCTTTGTCGTTGCGTAGTTGCAAAATTGTACTTTTATCAAAATTTCTTTTTTCCAATGACATAAAATATTTAGAGTTTTTCTCTCCTTCTTCAAACCATTTGACTCTCGACCTGATTATTGAGCCTTTACATTTCCGTTTGTATATTTGTTCTAGTTTGTTCTTCCTGCATTTTCTCACCGTTAAGTGTCCACATTTTTTCATTGATCTTTTGTAATTTCTCTTCTAAAAACGTGGAATCACTTTCTTTTGTTTTCTTACTTTTGGTATATTTGATAGAGTATTCTCTGACTCTAATTTTACATAGTTCCCATGCGTACTGCCAAGACACGCAAGAGTTATTCTTTTCTTGTACTGCCTCCTCTATAATTGTTCTAACTTCTTCACAATAATCACTTTTTGTTAACAAACTAGTATTAAATTTCCAAAAACCGGGTCCATGTTTGGTGTCGTTAAATCTGATTGTTATGGTAACTGCATTATGATCACCATTAACAACTGGCCTAATATCAGTTTTGATTATATAATTTTTCAAAGGTTTACTAATCAAAACAAAATCAATTCTTGAAGCAACCTGTAGACCTTTGTTGTGCCATGTATATTGTTTTTTATCAGAATGCACTTTTCTCCAGATATCTATTAACAAAAACCTCTTTAATATTAGTTTTAAACTAGATGGAATTTTGACTGCGCGCAGTCGAAAATGATGCCTCCGCCATAGAGCAATTTAAACAAGTTTGGAGTTTAAATCTCCAGTGGTTCTTGAGATATCATGATAACAATCTCAATGTATGGAATTTCATAAGTTGACCTCTGTGACCCTTGACCTTTGACCTACGTGCTCCAAAATCTAATCAGATTGTCTTCCTATGGTGATACACACTATCATTAAGTTTGAAGTTTAAATCTCCAGTGGTTCTTGAGATATTATGATATGGTGATACATACTATCATTAAGTTTGAAGTGAAAATTCTCCAGTGGTTCTTGAAATATTGCGATAACGATCTCAATGTATGGAATTTCATAAGTTGACCTCTGTGACCCTTGACCTTTGACCTACGTGCTCCAAAATCTAATCAGATTGTCTTCCTATGGTGATACACACTATCATTAAGTTTGAAGTTTAAATCTCCAGTGGTTCTTGAGATATTTTGATAACAATCTCAATGTATGGAATTTCATAAGTTGACCTCTGTGACCCTTGGCCTTGACCTTTGACCTACGTGCTCCAAAATCTAATCAGATCGTCTTCCTATGGTGATACATACTATCCTTAAGTTTGAAGGTTTTACATCTCCAGTGGTTCTTGAGATATCATGATAACAATCTCAATGTATGGAATTTCATAAGTTGACCTCTATGACCCTTGACCTTTGACCTACGTGCTCCAAAATGTAATCAGATTGTTTTCCTATAGTGATACACACTATCACTAAGTTTGAAGTTTAAATCTCCAGTGGTTCTTGAGATATCATGATAACAATCTCAATGTATGGAATTTCATAAGTTGACCTTTGTGACCCTTGACCTTTGACATACGTGCTCCAAAATCTAATCAGATCGTCTTCCTATGGTGATACATACTATCCTTAAGTTTGAAGTTTAAATCTCAAATGGTTCTTGAGATATCGCGCTAACAAACTCAATACAAGGAATTTCATAAGTTGACCTCTGTGACCTGTGACCTTTGACCTACGTACTCCAAAATCTAATCAGATCGTCTTCCTATGGTGATAAATATTATTCCCGAGTCTTAAGTTTAAATCTTAAATGGTTCTTGAGATATTGTGATAACGGTCAAACGGGACGGACGTACGGACGGACAACCCGAAAACATGATGCCTCCGGCACCACCTTCGGTGGCGGAGGCATAAAAACTTGGAGTTTTGTATTTGCTTTTTACGTTAAAGGTATCTATTTTTGGATTCAGCACACAGTTGAAATCTCCGCCTATAATCAAATGTGTTTGTAGGTCTTGTAAATCGAACTTTTTATTCAATTTATTATAAACACTTTTAAAGAAAATCTCTCTTTTCTTATGGACATTAGGAGCATATATATTAACAATTATTTGTTTAATTGAATGTATTAGACATTCTAAGATGAGGAATCTCCCGTTTTGGTCGTTATATTCAGAAAAGTATTTAATTTCACTTTGTCTTTTTATTAAAATTGCTACACCTCGTGCGTTGTTTGTGCCATGATTGAAGATGGCTGTACCTTTCCATTCATTTCGTATTATGTGCTCTATGTCTTTAGACCAATGCGTTTCTTGTATGAGGACAATCTCAGCTTAGTCATCAAAACTTAGTATTTTATTATGTTGTCTTGTAATTAAAATGCTATGATATTTGAAGCATATAGTTACATATATTTTGACATAACACGTCTTGTAAGCCTACCACGATTACACAACTAATGCATTTTCAAAATAGTTACTACGTGTATATTCAGTATTTTAATACCAGTAATTATGCAAGCAAAGGCGTACAGGCAATATGTCAGGGAGGAAGGGGGAGGGGGTATGTTGTCGCGAATACAATTGGCAATTTTTCAGTTTCTAAATTATGTGTATTTGTCCATATAAAGTAAACATATCCCCCCCCCCCCTTGAAAGAAAAAATATACCCGCATATTTCAGACATAATTATGACTGATAAAACATTATCAAGAAAAAGAAAACAGAAATGCATGGAAGGATCCAGCGGTTGTTGCTTATTAGTAAAAGAAATCAGTCATAAGTTGGAAATGAAAAATTAGCCGAAACTGAAGTAATTTTTTGTGATCAATTGTACCATCAATCTACAGATTTTGCCGCTGACTTGAGGGAACTTAGTGAGCTCATCTTCTAAATTAACCCCAACGACGGGCCATGATGGAGAGTTACATGTATTATCTACACATTGCTTTAATGACAGTGGTTACACTGCATATCATAAAAGATGCCACGGCCATACCCGACAGTTGCCTTTGGGATGGTGCCACGATCCTGGACTGTTATCAAAGGAATCTTGATCGCATACCCACAATCCCATCGTCGGTGACAACCGTGAACTTGGAAAACGATCGTATTGATGAAGGGGCCACTTCTTTGACGATTCTGTCCCTCGATAACAACTTGATCCCGAATCTCCAGGCCATCCTGGGGAAGGACCTCATCAACCTTCATAGATTGTCAATGAATCACAGTCTTTTTACAGCCATGCATAACACAACGTTTGTAGGACTCGGTAACTTAAAAAGTATCCTTCTGAGTCACAACGAAATCACAATCCTGTTACCAGGATGGTGTGACGGTGCTGACAATGTCTCTCTGGTGGACTTATCCGATAACAAAATCTCTTCCATCGGTCGAACCAATTGGTGCTTATTTACACGCTTGGAATCCTTAAACCTGTCAAATAACAAAATCAATCGCTTACAGAGCAACTGGACAGAGGGTATGGTTCACCTCCAGTATCTTGACCTGCAAAATAACAATCTGAAAACTTTAAAGAAAGGCTCTTTCAGTTTCCTAACAGCCCTCTTAGACTTGCAACTCGGAAACAATTCTATCAGGAAGGTTGAGGTTGGTTGGGGACGGGATCTTGGTAAGCTGACGACACTTCAGCTTTCCCAAAATAAACTCAAGAAACTGCAGCCAAGGTTGTTCTCCGGCATGGTCCGCCTGACCCGGATTGATATACAAGCAGCGAATATTAGGAGAATTCATCAAGGTTCATTCCAGTTTTTAGAAGGTCTTGCAGAAATAACATTACAATATAATTCTATGACAACAATCCGCAAAGGGGTTTTCTCCAATCTGAGGTCAGTGGTAAGACTCACACTTCAGTCCAATAAGATCTCTCACATAGAGCCTAGATCTTTTTGTGGAATGGTATCCTTGGTTGAACTCTACCTTAACAACAACAGAATTTTGCATCTGTTCAGGTTCACCTTCGCCGGTCTTCGCATGCTGACGCACCTCGATCTGCAAAATAATGAAATTGTCTCTCTGTCGGAATACTGGAATGCCGATCTCAATAATGTCCGCTTCATTGACATGAGTTGGAACAATATCTCCAACATAGAGAAAAGACAGTCCAACTACAGCTATTGGGGTGGGCCTACAGATCTTGATATTCCGCTGACATGTGGAAATGAATCATCAATGGATGCATTGCATCTAAAGGCTGTCCCTTCACTGAAGTTCTTGGATATGTCCAGGAACCCGGTAGGAACTCTATTACATCGAGGCATTTTTCAAGGTTTGGTAGAGTTACGCTACCTGATACTTGCATATTGCAATCTTAAATATATTGAAGGGTCATATTTTACAGACCTCCTATCCCTAAAGCACCTCAATATCTCCCACAACAACATTGTTCGTCTAGATTCTGATGCCTTTAGTTCCATTCCTTCGGTGGTAGCAATTGATGCAAAATTCAACGCAATGGAGTCTGTGGGCCCATATACATTTGGCGGCAAAGACTTATCCTTCGTTGATCTTGGCGAAAATGCTCTGCAAACACTTTCTCGTGATGTGCTGCCAAAACGATTCAGTGAATTCAAACTGCGTCTTACCCAAAATCCTTTGCTATGTGACTGCAGGATAACATGGTTACATAAGCTCATTACAGAAGAACGCATTCAAAGTGTTCCAATGTCGTTTGTTGACATCATAGGAGTAAGATGCGCAAACATAAACGGTAGTCGACTGAGTTCCATTCCGCTAAGCGACATCCCTTGTGATCCATCGTTGAACCTTGACACGACCACGCCTCCTGCAAATGAGATCCCAAAGACGACATCGCCCAAAATTTTGACCAAGGGTATTATGTCTACAAATGCACCGACTATGTCAACGTTAGGTGACACGACCACGCCTCCTGCAAATGAGATCCCAAAGACGACATCGCCCAAAATCTTGACCAATGGTAATATGTTTACAAATGCACCGACTATGTCAACGTTAGGTGACACGACCACGCCTCCTGCAAATGAGATCCCAAAGACGACATCGCCCAAAATCTTGACCAAGGGTAATATGTCTACAAATGCACCGACTATGTCAACGTTAGGTGATGTAAACAGGGAAACAGGAGTGTCATCAGCGTGCGGTCAAAACAATGCCATGCAAGACAAAGGAACTTCCCAATTCTTCTCTTCTACCAACACTGTCTATATCACTGTTTGGCTGTTGTTGGCCGTAGTTGTCTTTTTAGCAGGAAAGCAACAGTGTGGACAGCATTGCAGGAACAAATTTATTCGTGCGAGACCAGTCATTTACCAGGATATCAACAGCGGTCTGGTTATGAGACCTTCTCCCACAAGATCCCCTTCTGTAGACTTTGACACCAATCATGTACAAACCAATAGGAACCATCCTCTGTCCGGACATCGCATACGTTTAGCATCGCAGGACTTTAAACCTGCCCCTCCCCCACCGCCACCCCGGAGACGTGAAGATTTGGGGCAAGCAATCACTCAAACATCCCCTCTAGAGGACCATACTGAACAACGACTGAGGAACAATCCTGTGCTTCATAGCAAACGCGTTGTAAAGCACTCCTATTTTTGCAACGGCCTTGGAAGTGTCCAGCACAGGGATGGTTCATTGACAGCTTTGACACAAGATCTTGGAGATGGGAACAACTGTAGTGAGGTTTTGGCCAAACCACGAGTCCCGCGTCACATGCATTTTCGGGACCATGTCGCAACGGCTCCGGGTTGTCCACTTAAAACAAAAGTCCCAAGAAATGAATTTCATTCTGCAGTCACGAAGGCATTGATTCGCGAGGAAGCCTCTGATTTCATATGCGTCACGAGAGAAACAAAGGCATCAAACTCAAACCTAACTGAGACCACTGATGGTGGTGCTGATCAAGAGGGCGCCCTAATGAGACGACAGTATTTCCTCGATTCAAATGGGAGCACCTGTGGAACGTCGAACAGCACTTCATTGCGGGGTGACGACTTTGAGAGAGATCGTGAAAGCCATGAAAGCGGTGACGACGATTATGACGACACATCTGGTGTAATTATATATCATATAAACCAGGATGAGTTTGCAACTAGAACTACTGATCCTGGTATGCTAATGAAGGAACTAGCTGTATCTTCTTACTCGAGTGAAGACGACTTTGATTGCGGTATTCCAAACCCCGAAATGGACTATGATGACAGCATCGAAATTGAGCTTGAAAGTGAGAAGTTATCAAATACTGTATGTTCATTTGGTTTGGCGGATGACGATAACCTAGTGTCAGAGTCATTTATCACTACCGAAGTCATATTCCAAGAAACTGCTGTGTAGGTCTTTGGTACAAGTAGTAGTGTATTTACAGTAATTTGTCCTCTTCACGGATAGGGGTGATGGCAAAACGTTAGAGCCAACATGAAATATCGTTATCATTGATTATCAGCAAGAATAATGCTTCTCCAGGCTCTGATGTGGGTGGAATGAAAGCATAGGCGGGAGAAACGGGGGGGGGGGGGGGGGGGGGGGGGGGGGGGGGGGGCAGGTTCATAAATGTTAATTTATCTCTATACCTAATTAAGGGGAAAGGGGGTGGTGGCTAAGTGGTAGAGCAGGGGTCTCGTACATGGGAGGTTCTGGGTTTGAAACCAAGTCAATACCCTCGTGCCCTTTGGTAAGGCATTCATCCTCATTAACAAGTACTTTCGGATAGGACTTAAGGCTGTCGGTCCCTTATTTGATTACTTACAATCATACACATGCTTATTTAGCAGTCAGGTAAAACAATCAAACAAATAGAATTAATACAATCACTATGATTTGGGTTTTATACGTCATTTGCACTTTGTAATTTTTTTTAATTAACAGCAAAGTATAAAATAAATTATTGCTTCAGAGAGTATGATCGAATTGTGAGAGCACATGTCAAAAGGCCAGTGATCCATGTGTTGATTTGGGATATTTCAGATTTTTCAAGTTTTAATGTAACACCAGCGTTCAGTTTTGCTACGTTTGGATTCATTTATCAGCAGATACATTTGGATTTCTCGCTTTCTAATCTGTATGTACATAATTATGTATGTGTACGTTTTATTTAACTTTGTATGTAAGCCATTTATTCTATAATGTATGTTTCTTTGTAAAATTGTGATTGCTTTTATACGTTCACGGCCATGCTGAAGAACAGCTGTATGGCTGAAGTATGCAATCCTGCTAAAATTAAAATAAAAGAAACAAAACAAAACCAATCTGTACATTTGAATGGAATATTTGCACAAATTCTAGTGAAATTTTGCCATCAGATTTTTGGCAAATTTGGGGCGCCCAACACTTTAGAGGGGATTTAAGGAAAGTTAAAGTAGGTTTGAGATTGGAGTCGTAGGGAGGTTTAGAAAGGAGTTTGGGAACATGTGATGTGTGTATTTGCTAGTGTGTGTGTAAAGAAAAAACTTTCAGCAGAGAAACTCCTGAATTTAGGAGTTTTCCAATTAAATTCCTTTTGCTAGGCACATCATGAAATATCTATTTACTGTTGCAAAGAATTTCTGTGAATGTAGAAAACCCTCCTCCAATGGCACGCCCACTCTACTAACCTGAATTAAAAAAGGGCGACTGCCCACGATAAATCGCAATGCGCTGAAAAACACCATTAAGGCCCCAGAATAATTTTTGCAAAGAATAAAAAAAGAGCACTTAAATAAATGATGTTTCTTTCCTGTCTTCTAAAATCCCAAACAGATTAATTTGTCATTATTTTTTTCTTTTCCATGGACTAAAAGGCCGATCGTGGTTCTACGTCAATGACTGATGTGCATAAATTCAGCACTTTGCACGGAAATAAATGTCTCATGCTCCTAATTTAATTCCCCCTATAATTGGAATGAAAGGTAACTCAATTACGGAAAAGCAACAATGATGATTTCTTTTCAATCAATTTAGCCCATCACGACGTCTATTCATGAATGTTCTTTCACTCCCAATGTTCGTTTTGTTGACAATCGAGCCTTTAGAACGTTCATGAGATGCCATCATCATAAAATGGGGGAAATTGATTAGATGGGTTTTGTTGAATGCTGCCAGAATACATACCACAATGATAGTGGTGTAGTGTGGATCCAGCCTTTGAAGGGGGCCCTGGTGTTGGATTGGAGGGGGGGGGGGGGTGGGTGGAGTGGGGGTGGGGGGGGGGAAGGGCACAGGTCTCTAGACACATACAGTATTGCTTGGAATAAAGTTGACAGTCTCACACTGTGTCACACGTGGCTACATGCATTATCCCATAGACCTTGGTGTAACTTGGTGGAAATGTGTCTACTTTATTTCAAGTAATACTGTATGTGGCTGAAAAGCAAGAAAATGAGGCTATTATGTGAGGGGTAGGATGCTAAAGGGAGAAAGGGGGTCTCTTATCTTCTTCTCACATTGCCCTCCCCTCTCCCTTCTTTTTTTTTCTCTCTATCCCTCTTGTTTACTCCTCATAGTAGATGGATGAAAAGAAAGAAAACTAGGCTAACAGACAATAGTAGAGTGTTGAGGGGGATTCTGTTGTCTTCTTTTACATTGCCCCTCCCCTCTCTTACCCTCTCTCTCTCTCTCTCTCTCTCTCTCTCTCTCTCTCTCTTCTCTCCCTCCTTCTCTCTCTCTCTCTCTTCTCTCCCTCCTTCTCTCTTCTCTCTCCTCCCTCCTTCTCTCTCTCTCTTCTCTCTCCCTCCCTCCTTCTCTCTCCCTCCCTCCTCCTCTCTCTCTTCTCTCTCCCTCCCTCCTTCTCTCTCTCTTCTCTCTCCCTCCCCCCTTCTCTCTCTCTTCTCTCTCCCTCCCTCCTTCTCTCTTCTCTCTCCCTCCCCCCTCTCTCTCTCTCTTCTCTCTCCCTCCCTCCTTCTCTCTTCTCTCTCCTCCCTCCTCCCTCTCTTCTCTCTCTCTCCTTCTCTCTCCCTCCCCCTTCTCTCTCTCTTCTCTCTCCCTCCCTCCTTCTCTCTTCTCTCTCCCTCCCTCCTTCCCCCTCTCTCTCTCTCTTCTCTCTCCCTCTCCCCTCCTTCTCTCTCTCTTCTCTCTCCCTCCCTCCTTCTCTCTCTCTTCTCTCTCCCTCCCTCCTTCTCTCTCTCTTCTCTCTCCCTCCCTCCTTCTCTCTCTCTCTTCTCTCTCCCTCCCTCCTTCTCTCTCTCTTTTCCTTTTGCCATTCATATAGGGGGCAACTCCTTCTCCACTCCCAAGCACATACAATTTGCAGTATTGACATTTTCCTCATCAAGACATCTTGGAGAAAATCTCCATTTTATTTGAATTTCAAAGCTTGGAGTTTGAGTGATTACTCAATTGCCTATGTGTCCTTTCCACTGTTACATATAAACTGGCATACTAAGGGGAATAAGCACTTAATGTTTTATCAAACTCTAAAATTTGATGATGAATGCTATAAGTACAATCATTAATAGACCCGGCAATATCCAAGTCTTCAGAAATTCAACAGGTTTTATATATGAATAATTATTTTTCTTCTCTTGTACTGATCATGTCAATTAATATTGACTAATAACACAGCTGAATTGAAATGCAACGGTGAATAATATCATCAAAAATATCAAGTTAAAATCACTAATATAAAATTTAAAAGTGAAAGCTACTTTCGTTCCCCTCAGCTCAGGTGTGAAAAAGTATTTTGTACTATAAACACTTTATGGGTGAGCTCCCCTCCGTGAGCAATTCCAATAAAACTGCAGGAAGTTTAAAGATAAAGTTGAGTTCTGGTCATGCGATTGCATTGTGAAAGAAATGTTGTGGAATCAATCAGAAAAGGTTGATCATCTAGCATATAAGTATTGGTGTGTACTGTAAGGTTATGGAATCATCAGAATGATAAGAAATTTGGCCCAGTCTTGGTAAAGTTACAAGCACTGTAATAATAATAATAATAATATTCTGTGTTTATATAGCGCTCAATACATCAATCCAACGATGTGCCTAAGCGCTTTACAGATATATTATTACCTCGGTCATCGGATTCAGGCTTACCTACACACAATGTATGCATATTTTTCACTCCCTGGGGGAGCATTCCAGCCAGTCACCATTTTACAAGCACACACTTGCTCGTCCAACCATATGAACTTACGCATCCTACCGGGTACCCATTTAACACCTGGGTGGAGAGTAGCAAGTGCAGGTAAATATCTTGCCAAAGGATATTAGTGCCGTGTCGGGATTCAAACCCTCGACCTTCGCATCTCCAGTCAAGCGCCTTAAACCACTCGACCACGACACTCCCACAGAAAGATGTATATGGGACTACACAAACATGTGGCATAAAATTTGTCCCGATTTTTTATGATGTTACATGCCATATTTAGAATATTAAGGCATTTGAAGAGCCATGCCTTTCAGGGAACATTTTTATCTCATGTTCTTTCAAACTTGCATAATACAATGATAACGCTCACAAATAATTTTTCACCTCTTCCCAGAATTAAACCTTCTCTTTAAAGATATCCTCCAGATAAAATGATCTTCTTGACAGTTATACATAACAATTTGATTAATTCAACATTATGACAGGATTTGATTTGGGTAGGGTAGTTTCTGATGATGTTATCATAAGAGTGGAAAAAGTATGACTTATTTATAAACACAACTAAATATCCACCCTACATTACAATGTCATATTCAATCCTGACTTTCATTCCCAAACCCTTTGTGAATCCTTATGCAGTTTGGAATATATTTCTCAAATCAGACTTAATGCTTGAAGAACAATTTAGCCCAGCCTACACGCTACAATTCCGCCTCCACGCAAGGGAGAGGGGGCATTGTGAGTAGGGTGAGAGAGAAGAAGAGACACAGGGGTGGTGAAGGTATGAGATAGGAGGAGCGGATAGAGAGAGAAGACAGAAGGGCAAAGAGAAAAAAATTGAAAGAGAAGGCAGAGGCAGGGGAGTTTTAAAAAAAGGATGGAGGGAGATAAAAGGAGAGAGGGAATGAGAGGAGAGACATAACGAAAAAGAGATATTAAGAGGGGAGATAGAGCGAGAGTGGGAGAGAGGGAGGAATAGAAATAAACTGAGGGAGAGAAAGAAACCGAGAGAGAGAGAGAGGGAGATATTGATTAAATGGAGAGATACAACAACAAAAAGTGACAAAAGTTGAGAGGGAATTCAAGAGAAAAGGGGAGGGGAGAGAGATAGAGAGGGAAAAGAGAGGGAGAGAGAAAGAGAGAGAGAGAGAGAGAGTTAAAGAGAGAGAGAGAGAGAGAAAGAGAGAGAGAGAGAGAGAGAGAGAGAGAGAGTGAGTGAGTGATAGAGAGAAAGAAATGGGGGAATATTGACAGAAATTAAGGAGTGCAGGAAATGAGGGAATTACAGGGGCAAAGAGAAGTGCAAAGAAGGGGGAGGGGAGGGAGAGTGTGAATAGGAGAGTGTGAATAAGAGAGGGGGGGAATAAGGAGAAGAAACAGGGAGAAAGACTGCTGCAATATCCATTGCATTCCTGCTTCGGTCGATCCAGTGACTGATGACTTAACTGGGATTGCACGGTATAATAGGTGCAGGCAAATGGGCTCTGCCAAATGCTGTGCCAATCAAAATCATCTCGAAAGAGAGAGGAAAAAAATCACATGTCTTTGGAAGTAATCAATGTAGTTGAACTTATTTGATGCTTATTTTTGGACAACGAGCAGTTCATTATATGGTCATGTGAGGTCATGTGGGGTCAAGGAGGTCAGGTACAAGGATTCGGGGAAAGTGAAGTTAATGCTTAAAAGTTGACAAAGTCATGAAGGTGTTGAGGGTACATTAACCCCTTTTGTGCCCCCAGGTTTATAAAGATTTATCATGAATCCTCTTTCAATAGTCAAATGTGGGCTGTTATATTTTCATCTTTACATTTGGTTTTAAATAAAGAAGGAAGAAGAGCCATGGAAGAAGGCCTGAGTACTGGAAAGGCAGAAGGCAAAAGTGCATACTTACATAAACAAAAAACAAATACAAACAAACAAACAAACAGCAAGAACAGATCAACAAAAACATGAAGAAAGATGTACATAAATATAACGGTGAAGGAGAGAGAGAGAGAGAGAGAGAGAGAGAAGGGGGAAGGGGATAAAGAGGAGAGGAGAGAAGGGGGAGAAAGGAAGCAGAATTTAGTGAGAAAACATGAGAAAGGCAGAGAGGGAGGACGATAGAAAGAGAGAGAGAGAGAGAGGGGGATGAGGAGTGAGGAATAGAAAGAGGGAGGTAGAAAGAGAGGAGAGAGAGGGAGAGAGAGAGAGAGAGAGGGAGAGAGAGAGAGAGTGATGGAGAGAGGATCAGAGATGTAAATGCAAACTCATTCAACAATCATTGAATCCATCACAAACCAATCAATTTCTCAGTGATTTGATGTCACAATCATCCAAAGACAGCAAAACCAGATGCGCCCTCTTTATGTCGGTTCTCCAAACACGAAAACCCGGCCCTTAACCCTGTGGACCATACCACTATCGGAGAGTCGCATGAAGCACATCCTACATGAGTCTTGAGCTACACTTTCAAGCAGGTTTATATAATATTTTGAACTATATCTGTATTGCTAATATGAAGAACATTTCCTTCTTTCAGCTCATGACAGTAAAACCAGATGCGCTTCTCGGTTTGTCGTTTCACAAAACACAAAACTCCCGGCTGCCCTAAACCCATAGCATCTCAGTGTTACCCTGTAATGAAATTCATGCATTACCTTTCCATCAGGGGAAAAAATACACGGGCCAAATTAGCCCCGAAATGCCCAAAAGAGCCCCCAAAATCCATAAAAGAGCCCCCTACAATATGCATTGAGTTCAATGCAAAACAGTTAAAGAGTGTTATTTAAATGCAAGCAAACTTGAAAAAGGGCCCCCAAAATTTTTTATATTTTTTTTTCTTTGCTTTCCATCATGAATATTATGAATCACATAATACATAAGCAAACTTAGTAGACTTAGCAGACAGAGCAAACATACAGCAAAAATATATAAAATTTCTGTGTACAGTACTTGTAACTTTACAAAGACTTGGCCAAATTTCTTATCATTTTGATGATTCCAGAACCTTGCAGTACACACCAATACTTATATGCTAGATGATCAACCTTTTCTGATCGATTCCACAATGTTTCTTTCACAATGCAATTGCATGACCATAACTGGTCTTTATCTTTAACTGACATGATTTAACCAGAGTTGCATGAGGCACATCCTACATTAAAATTAATCTACATCTTGAAGCAACATTGTATGATACTGAGGAAAAAAATCCCTCATGCCAATACAAAGATTATTTCTTTTCTTTTATCCAATGACAATGATATCAGATGTGCATTTAGTTCGCCAGTTTACAAAAAAACAACAACACCCCTGCCCATGAATATTATGGACCTTACAAAAGATGAGAGTCGCAAGAAGCACTAAGTTGTCTTCTGGCATATACCCTACAGAGATTTTAGGGAAATATGAAAAATTTTATGTTTTAATTAATCCTTTTACAGCATGACATTTCTGGAAATTTGTACCCCCTCTCAATATTTGTTTACCCTTGCAAATTTGTGAAAATTTCTTGCATGAGGAAAATGTCTAGCTATACAGGAATTGCAACTATATTAAGAAGCCTAAACTACCCACGCTGCCCTCCACAGTCTAGTTTTTATAAACAATAATTCTTAGCAGAGAGTCTACACTGTAGACTACAGGTATAAGACTAAAGAAATAGGCTTTAGAAGGTTTTTAATGGAAAGGCCAAAGATCTATGGTGTTTCACTGCAGCCTATTATAATGAAGGTTAATCTAGAAATGGTTACTTAACTTGCATACATTATTGCCTAAACTTATGAGCCTTTTTTTATAACACCTAGTCCCATACATGTATATTTGAGTTTGTGGTTCTAAGTGTAGACTAAGGGGAATTTCAGCAAGATTTTAAAATTTGTATTATCACTACCAGTTAAACAGTCCCATAATATCAAGGATTTCACTTTTTACATAACCAATTTTGTAGATTAGGTTTTATGCAGATTCTCTACAAATGCGATCTTAAAACAACAACAAATAGATTTTTACAGAATAAGCAAAACGTGGGACGATTGTTTCTTTAAAATTCAAAACCTAATGTCAATGTATGGATTGTATGAACCTTTGACAAACATCTCAATAGTCTTAACCATAATTTCATATAGAATGCTGATGATGCCTTTCCCCAAAACTTGTTCACCCGGTGATGGCTTCCGCAGCTGGTGTCGGGGTGTTATTTAAACCAGCGGAAAGAATTTTTGTGCCCTGCTTATGAAATCAAATATTGCTATTTGAATAAAAGGTTTTTGATTGCAGCCATGGTTTGCCAGATGTGTACATCAAGTTTTATTTGTGAAGCTTTTCATTCATATTAAAACTGGTTAGGTCATTCTGTGTCTGAAGAGCAACACCCTATTGCACTTTTATAATATCCTTGTACTCTACTTCGGAGTTTATTCTTTCTTCTTGCCTCTACTTCTTTTTATTCTTCTCCTCCTCCTTTCCTTCTTCTTCTTGTTTTTCTTGTTTTTCTTGTTTTTCTTGTTTTTCTTGTTCTTCTTGTTCTTCTCCTCCTTTCCTTTCCTTCTCCTTCTTCTTTTCCTTTTCCCCCTTCTTCTTGTTCTTCTTACATTCTTCTTATCCTTCCTCCTCCTCGTGTCCTCTTCCTCCAATTTCATCTTCATCTTCTCTGCCTCTTTTTTCTTCTAATTCTTTCTGTTTTATGTTTCTTCTTCTTGTTCATTCTTCTCCTTTTCTATATAATCTTTTATATTTCTTCTCTTTTTCCTCCTCTTTCTTCCTCTCCTACTTCTTGAGTTCTATTCTTGACCTGACATGTAATCAAGTCTGTATTTCATTAAAGATATAGGGTTAGGGTTATGGTGGCAACTGGATTTTATTTAGGGTTAGGTAAAGCGTTTGGTCCAGGGTTGGGGTTTAGAATATGGTTCAAGTAGGGAAATGGCAAGCGAGCAATTGTCGCCAAGCATGTGTTTTAGAACCCTTCACTTTTTTTCTTTTTACTTGTATCTTCTTTTTCTTTAATTGATCTTCTTTCTCCACCTTCTTCTTCTTACATGTCTCCCTTCCCCCTTTTTCTTCTATAGGTTGTACGACCCATGCTGCGGCAATAACTGCTCTGTGGTCAACATACGATACATACCAAATAGCGCTTAGAGACTCTGGTGGCAAGCGCTTTATAAGCACCATATTTTATTATCGTTATTATTATTAATTATTATTATTATTAAATTCATGACTTTAACCCTTGACCAAACACTATACCTAATCCTAACTCTAAATCTTACCCTATACATGAACTAAACCCAATTGCAAACCTAACCCTAACCTTATACATGAACTAAACCTAATTGCAAACCTAAACCCAACCCTATACATGAACTAAAACCAATTGCAAACCTAAACCTAACCCTATACATGAACTAAACCCAATTGCAAACCTAACCCTAACCCTATACATGAACTAAACCCAATTGCAAACCTAAACCTAACCCTATACATGAACTAAACTCAATTGCAAACCTAACCCTAACCCTATACATGAACTAAACCTAATTGCAAACCTAAACCAACCCTATACACGAACTAAACCCAATTGCAAACCTAACCTTAACCCTATACATAATCCTAACTCTAAATCTTACCCTATACATGAACTAAACCCAATTGCAAACCTAACCTTACCCTATACATAATCCTAACTCTAAACCTAACCCTATACATGAACTAAATCCAATTGCAAACCTAACCCTAACCCTATACATGAACTAAACCCAATTGCAAACCTAAACCTAACTCTATACATAAACTAAACTCAATTGCAAACCTAACCCTAACCCTATACATGAACTAAACCTAATTGCAAACCTAAACCCAACCCTATACATGAACTAAACTCAATTGCAAACCTAAACCTAACCCTATACATGAACTAAACTGAATTGCAAACCTAAACCCAACCCTATACATGAACTAAACTCAATTGCAAACCTAAACCTAACCCTATACATGAACTAAACTGAATTGCAAACCTAAACCCAACCCTATACATGAACTAAACTCAATTGCAAACCTAAACCTAACCCTATACATGAACTAAACTCAATTGCAAACCTAAACCCAACCCTATACATGAACTAAACTCAATTGCAAACCTAAACCCAACCCTATACATGAACTAAACCCAATTGCAAACCTAAACCTAACCCTATACACATTATCTTTGATGAAATAAATTTTAAAGCAACTATTGCGGTGCAGATGTAGGAGCATCATTTGTTATGGGTGTTGTTGTTACTGTGAAACTTAGACATTGTTCTTAACAGCTCATAGTAGTACAAGCAGAATAAGTAAAAACTGACTCGTCTTAGCCAAAAAACTTATGGAGTGCCAAGTGTCAATGCCTTATTACTGTACAAAGTATATGGTTGTTCTGTGACCAAATAGAACAATGTAATGAATTGAAAATTGATTTCATGATGACATGATTATTGTTTGATAACTTGGTAGCAGGAATTTGGTAACTGTTATGGAATAAAGAGATTGACATTAATTGGCGCTTGATAAATCATTGGACTAATTCAACCCAATTTGCTGAAGTTCGACCTGCAGTAGATTGAAAAATACGTGTTTTTGAATGCCTCAATTTGCAGACATGCATTACCCAGATGTTTCTAATATAATAACTATCCTCCCAATTTGTGAACCTGTTTTCTTTGGGGATTTATCTCGAATGTGAAAGAAAAACAAGACTTGACGGCAAGCGCAAGTTAACAAATACGATTGAGCCGGTTATCATTTTTGTAAGGCAAGACGATCCTGACATTATGAATCCTTCTCCCAGGACTGTTTTCGTGACTGTCGCGACATAATAATTACAGTTTACGACAAAAGTATGTCTGCGACAGCGGGAGAGCTCATGATGATCTTTTATTGTTTGCTTGAAAAAAAGATTGGAATTCTTTGGGCTTGCCCGTGCCCTTTTATTGTCATCCTCATTTATCCTTTTCAACTTTTTGAAAGAATTATTTTGATGCCGTGATTACGAACAAATCTACCCGTCCAATCGCAGACGATGTTAACAAAACGAAAAGAATGCGGCTTAGAAGGATGAAGTCTACTGTCGCCAAAACAAACCCCGGAGCGCTCCATTCGGGCTCCGCTTACAAAGAAGGTTCAACGGAATGACATTTGCAATTGAAACTTGGGTCACTAGGCCAACTCGTCCATTCTCGGCTCGCCCAAATACACACACATTGAACCCATTTTCCCTCCATCTTGCATTCTTGAAAATCCTCCGGCGATGCGCAACCGAAAGTGGTCTTAATGCATTTTGCGAAATGCTGTCTCTTTCAATATACCCTGATGACAACATCGTGTTGTCTAAGGTGCCGAATAATACCCTAAATCCAGTTGGAGACGGTTGTTAAAGAAACCGGAGCCATTTAAGATCGTCAGAACGGCAACCTTTGGCCGGCTAACCCTCCCAGCGCGAGTCGCGAAATCTTTCTCTGAGAGAGGGAGATGACAGATTATCATGGTCTCTCTTTCTTCCCATTTGCCATCTTATTTGATCGCCCTTGAGTATCTTTCATTACCAAGGGTTGGGCTTCACCTTCTCTGACCTCATGCGGCTGCGAAACTTCTTCAAAGTCCTACCGCTCTGCTAAACTCATCATAGGGGCCAGGAACCCCATTGCGCGGGGGCCACATCGAAAGGGAAAACAGTCATCCCGACATCAAAAGACACAAAGGATGTCATTTCACTGGGGATCGATGACGACCGGTTCGGCATTCTTGTCCCAGATGACGGAAGATTTTCTTATTGTGTGGCGCAAAGCAATCGGTCTAACCCGTATTTAGGGCTCATCAAAAGCGTCTTTTAATCAAAACTGCGTTAACTGATTTCTTTGGGTAAGTATTTCAACATGCTCTGTCCTATCGGATATTTGGGCAGAAAAATCTATAAAAACCCACCTCATGCTGCTTCTGAAATTCATCATTGAAGAAAAAGAGGGCAAGCCGGGCTCTTGGGAATAGGTGCTTGGAGTTATTTGCCTCAGTCAATGTCCCCAAACTCTGTCAACAAAGCTCCCTCTAGACACCTACGCCCCTCATCTCTAAAGAAGAGCTTGCATGGGGACAGGGGAAGAGGAGGAGGGAGAGAAAAAAATACAAAAAGCGGCGGAAGTTATTAAAAATAATTACAACAGCATGCTAATAATAAAGTAATCTTCTTTCCACTCAATTTTCCTGACCCTTGTTTACTACATTCCACCACGCATTTAATAAAAAAAACCTTCGGCGATGCGCTGGAAAATGGAGAACGGCCCACTGGCAGCTGCAAGATCTATTAACACATATTCACGACAATCCGCTACGCTAGCATCAATCTCTTTTTCTTCTCATCCTCATTAGGCTGTCTCTAAATTAACACGTGGGATGACAAGCTGTATAGAGTCATCTCTCGCGCCGAGGAAACCTTGCCAATGAAAGTGCCGTGCGGCATTTCGCTCCCCGATGGAGCCCCCCTCCAAAATAATAAGTCAGTGACATTTCAGCATGGCATGTAATTATAAGTCAATACATCATTGTTACCAATCTGGCTACAAGTCAAGCGCACTTTAAGCATCGCGAGACAAAGTCATCGGCAAACACATTCTGATGCGTCCGTGACCCCCCCTTGATGGCAGCGTCAGGCGGCCGCGGTTTGAAATTCTTTCGGAGTGATAAAGACCGGAGAATCTCCTCTCTATCAACGATCAAAAAGTAGGCCTCAATTACACAATAGATCCTTGTTACCCGTTCAAAGGCAGTTTGACCTGTGAAAAATGGAGTTATTCAAGTCGATTCTTCTAATGGCATTGCCACATGTTGGGTCTCCATTTTGAAGTCTGAGGAGAACTTTCACCTCTACAAAAACTCTCATCCCCACCTCGCTTTTATCCACCGGCCATTTTTGATGATAGGACAGCATGCGGGGGTGCATGTCGTTCGTGCGAACAGGGCTGGAATTGACCGCAAAACAAGAATTGCGCTTTTGTCATAAATAACCCCCACAAAACAGTTCCCTCAATTGACAAGCATAACAGTGTCTGTTACTCACATCACATCGTCTTGATGCCTCTTTATGCCTTCTTCTTACCTCTACTTACTTCTTTTTTCCTCCGGTTTAAAAACCCTCCTCCAGAATCCCTGCTTCTCTCATCACAATTTCAGCAATCTCGGGGAGGGTTGTTTCAGGACAAAAAACTCTTGACATCCCGGCAGCAGCACCTGAACTTTCCCTCTGTACTTTGGTTGACCTGCGGATCGGGTCACTCCCAGCATGCAACAGTCTTGATGATGCCATCAGTGGTGAAGAATCAAGATAGGTAATTAGACCAGTTGACAGACATGAGTTTGGGCCTGCAGTCAAGAGAACGTGAATGAAAAAAAAACAGGGGTAATCAAAATCGGTAAGTGTTGGTAAAAACAGGGTGGAGGCTTCAACTGATGTGAATAGGTATATAATGAGCTTACATGAGCGTCTATACAGAAATGAAAGGCATGTAAAACAGTTGCATAGAGTGACAATAGTTTTGAATATACAGAAAAAAACATAAAAAGAAAGTGAATTTGAAAATGAGAGAGAGAGAGAGAGGGAGAGAGAGAGAGAGAGGGAGAGAGAGAGAGAGAGAGAGAGAGAGAGAGAGAGAGAGAGAGAGAGAGAACATGAAACAGAGGAGGAAGTTTAAAAAAAATATTAGGTGAACTATACTGATGAAGAGGTATGGTGAAAATAAATCACAAATATTGTAGAAAAAATAAGCAATAACCTACCAAGCAGACAAGCACCAAATTTGGTGTGACAAAAATAGGTTTTTGAAATAAGTGTTTCCAAAAAACAAAAAATGATGGAACTTTGGAAGTTATATTTAAAGTTCTAAACCCCATGATAAATGTAAAATATCAAATTGAATTTATCCTCCTAGAATGCTCTCTGTCCATATGAATCCTATAGCTACTGTGTGGCCCAATAGATGACCTAATGACCCAGCTGGAGCCTAATCCTGCCCCCTACCCTGAACTTGGACCCTCAAAATGGACAACAGAGGATCCCCTTATTCAACAATCATCCACTTCAATATTGAGCATTTCCCAAATGAATATGAAATTAATAATTATAGAGATCTTGTCTTTCCCTGATCCTTCTCTTCTCCCACCCCCCCCCCCCACTTCTAACTCTCTCTCTCTATGTGCCTCTATGTCTCTCTCTCTCCCCCCCCCCCCCCCCTCTCTCTCTCTCTCTCTCTCTCTCTCTCCCCCTCTCTCTCTCTCTCTCTCTCTCTCCCCCTCCTTCTCTCTCTCTCTCTCTCTCTCCCCCCTCTCTCTCTCTCTCTCTCTCTCCTCTCCTCTCCTCTTCTCTCCTCTCCTCTCCTCTCCTCTCCTCTCCTCTCCTCTCCTCTCCTCTCCTCTCCTCTCCTCTCCTCTCCTCTCCTCTCTCTCTCTCTCAAATTCATATTGTTGCTTTTGATTTTAAGTTACCAAATCATATAATCATTCAAATATATATCTTTTTATCTATGCACCAGCCTATTTGGAGAACCTCTAGAAAGAATTGACCACTTCTTTTAAGGTTATTCCAAGGCATTTGGCTGCTGTGTATTTTCTCATTTTTTTTTATAATGTTCTATGATTCTGTCATGCCTCATTTAAATCTGCATAAATTAGTCATGTCATGCCTGTTGAATGAATCAATAAATGAAAATAAAGATGAATAAATATATTAATTAATTCACAAATAATTACTGAGGAAACTAATAAATAAATGAATGATTGAAGATGTAATATATATCATTATTATTCTATTGCATTTCATCCATCATAAATGTAAAATGTGATAAATATATACCAGTGAAATGAAAGAGTTTGACATGATAAGCCATGAAAGTTTGTAATTAGCCTCTTTCCAACAAGTTCTTAAATGAACTATATGTAGATACTATTTAATTCATAGACATTATTATTTATTGTGATTAATAATTAAGAAACAAGTCAAACATATCACTTTTAGAGAACCTCTATAAACTTTTACCAATTCTTTAGGGTTATTCCCAGACATATCACTTTTAGATATCCTTCACATTTTGTAAGCATTTCAAAATCTTTTACCAATAAGAGATTTAAAATGTGGGGGTGTTGCTTGTTATATGGCTACTACTCAGTTCAATATAACTATACAAAAAGAAAAAGAAAAAGAATCATTTGCAAGTTCATCAAATACAAGATTCAAAAATAGCTGTGCACGAAATAAAAGATTAAAATCACCTACCTTATCTTAATAAAATTAACCTGTCATTTTGTGTCAATTATTCTAATATCAAAAGTAATATTTAAAAGCTTCTTATATTTGAACATGATTGTTATTTTTCAGAAGAGGTACCTATCTGTATGTGACATACAACTTATTTACTTTCAAGGTGAATTTGTCTTTTCATAGTTTCTCTGTCCGACTCTTTTGTAGAGCTTTCTTTGCTTTATATTCTACTGTAAGAAAAGAAAAATCCTGCAACTTGGATAGATAACTTGCCATGATTGATTTTTTTCAATGGATAGAATAAAACCAGTGAAATTAAAAAAATAACTCTGAAAGACTAATTTACACTCTCACCTTTTCCCTACAACCATACAAAATTCTACCAATATATCAATAAAATAGTGACCAGCAGTGCAAAATAGAGCGAATGGGGGGGGGGGGGGGTGGTGGTGGAAGGGTAAATAGGTGAATAAACTTAGTTCAAAATGAGAACAGACTCAATCCCCTTTTGATTGGAAAAGTAGCAACTCAATTTGGTGTCCTAAAAGGGTCTATTGGTATCAATTGTACCCATTGTATTGAGACATATGGCAGAGTCATTCAGCTACGTGTCCTCGTACTGCAAAACTTCTTTGAACAATTAGATTCCTTGTCCAGACTCGTTACAAGTCCCTGTTCGGACTTCCACAGTTCTCTTTTAAAATCTATATTCCAGAGAGTTTAAGGGTAAGCACATCCGTCGTAATTACTCATGCAAACGGTACAAATTGCTGTTTTTGTGGTTTAAAGGGAGATTTATACGCCATTTCTAACATCACGATTGCCAAACACCATTTGAAGGCCTGGAAACCAAGACTAGCAATCTTCCCACACTGAGCTTACAGCTCATCTGCCAATCAAGCAGCTTACTCATGAATAACCATCAGCACACAGCATCATTTGCATCTCATGAATATGCATTTACTACTCCTTGGCATGCAGCCCAATGAGCCAGTGGGAGACCAGCTCTGGAAGTGCAAGGAGAGGAGGAAAAACTGTCAGAAGACATTTATCCAAATATTTTGAAAGAGGTAGAAAATCTTGGTGATCTACGTGTGGCCAATTTGGGCATTTGATTTCAGCTAGGCGATATCTCCTGGATCTCAATAGGAACATGGGAAGATCATTGCTAAAGTGAAAGCACCTTTCCCCTTTCTTTCTCTCTCTCTCTCTCTCTCTCTCTCTCTCTCTCTCGCTTTCTCTCTCTCGCTTTCTCTCTCTCTGGCTCTCACTCACTTTCCCTGTTGTCTCCTTGTAATCCCTCTCTATCTCTCTCCCCTCTTTCAATTCAATCAATTAAATTCTTTTTATTCATCCAAATTCACAGAATACATGAAAATTTGTTTTGGTCACACAGTGTAAAAATATGTAATATATGAGAAAACTCTACTGTTGTGTTTATTATCATAAAAGAACCATCAAAATAAAAGGTAGACAAAATAGAAATATTATTTTCCTCTATTTTTCTCCATGTCTCTCCCTCTCCATCTCTTTTTGAGGCTACCTAAGTAGAAGATAACAAGGGGTGATATGCTGACCATGACTTTGCTTAAAATAGAAATCCCTCTCTCTCTCTCTCAAGAAGTTTGCATTTCACTCTGAACATGAACCCTACCACAATGAGTCCATGCTTAGAAATATTATTATTACGCAGCTTTTCACATACTTTGCAGATCAAGTTTACAATACCCAGTACATACAGTATTTCCAGCATTGTATGATCGATTTAGAATGGATGCTATGCTGCTAATTTAGACACATCTATGTGCCCCAAACATGTAATTGCTGGATAATTTATCTTCCTTTTTAACACTGAAAAAAGTTTAGGTTATTTAATGTTGCCGAATAAGAAACACAACTTACATCTTTCAGAGTTAACAATTCTTACTAAAAAGCATTCAAAGCACTACATATCTTTCCCCCTCTTTTTATGTATTAGTGAAAAGAATTAACTTATTACCGATTCTTTTTAATTTGTTGATCGACACTGGATTATTTTTGTCTATTTTATGCAAGGAATAATTTTAGAGATCTTTTTCTTTCCCTGTCCCTATTCTTCTCCCACTCCCCTCTCTTTCTCTCCTCTTCTCCATATTCCACCCCTCTCTCTCTTTCTCTCGTCTTCTCTCTTTCTCTCGTCTTCTCTCCTTTTCTCTCTCTCTCTCTCTCTTTCTCTCGTCTTCTCTCTCTTTCTCTCATCTTCTCTCTCTTTCTCTCGTCTTCTCTCTTTTTCTCGTCTTTGTCTCCTTTTCTCTCTCTCTCTCTCTCTCTCTTTCTTCTCGTCTTCTCTCTCTTTCTCTCGTTCTCTCTCTTTCTCTCGTCTTGTCTCCTTTTCTCTCTCTCTCTCTCTTTTCTCGTCTTCTCTCTCTTTCTCTCTCGTCTTCTCTTCTCTTTCTCTCGTCTTCTCTCGTCTTCTCTCTCTTTCTCTCTCTTTCTCTCGTCTTCTCTCTCTTTCTCTCTCTTTCTCTCTCTTGCTCTCGTCTTCTCTCTTTCTCTCGTCTTCTCTCTTTCTCTCGTCTTCTCTCTCTTTCTCTCGTCTCGTCTCCTTTTCTCTCTCTCTCTCTCTCTTTCTCTCGTCTTCTCTCTCTTTCTCTCGTCTTCTCTCTCTTTCTCTCATCTTGTCTCCTTTTCTCTCTCTCTCTCTCTCTTTCTCTCGTCTTCTCTCTCTTTCTCTCGTCTTCTCTCGTCTTCTCTCTCTTTCTCTCTCTTTCTCTCGTCTTCTCTCTCTTTCTCTCGTCTTCTCTCTCTTTCTTTCGTCTTCTCTCTCTTTCTCTCGTCTTCTCTTTCTCTCGTCTTCTCTCTCTTTCTCTCGTCTCGTCTCCTTTTCTCTCTCTCTCTCTCTCTTTCTCGCCCACTTACTAGTCACACACTGATTCTATTGACCTCTTTATTTTCACTCCCATCAATGTCATTGATGATTCTTTGTCCTCCCTCCATTGCCTAAAATAATCGTATCCATTCTATTTTAAAATTATATTATACGGCTCAAAAGAACTTAATGAAATGGTACAGGATATAAAAGTATATGGATCTTAAGATAATGCTAAATATAGGTGTTTATGTCAAAACA